TGCCTCCAAAACAAACGATTAAATTGACAACGGAAAAGAAAAAGGAGCTTGCTCATGACATAACAGAGTTCTTGGAAGCTTATAAGGAACAGAGTAATGTGAAAATTTTTGATATCAGTGAGCTAATATCAGCGGTGGAATTTTAGCTGAAAAACGAAGAAAGGAGCTGTCTGAAAAAATAGATGCATACTATCTGGAACTACGGGACGATATTCGTAGAGCCGCTGAATTGATTCTGTCCAAGGTAAACATTCTAAAGTCATTTTACTGCTGTAAATCATTATTTAGGATGTGCTCAATATGAACTTGTTTGAATTCCTGCGCGCTACCACCGTTAATGAATCCACGGAAACCTCTGAAGAACTCTCTACAGCAAGTAAAAACCCTTCATCAGAAAAGGTAAAGCTCTTCCTTTTGCGTACTTTTTATCGATTGAATAGCTGGGCTTTGAATTGCTCAGCAAAGTCGAAGTTATGATTTGGGTGTACCTTTGTGTTTCGCTTATTAGAATCGATCCTTCGCTAAAATTGTCGTCGAGCATCTAACAAAGCTCTGAATCATAATAATACCAAAGTATTACGAGATTTCCGCCGAGAAATCCCTTTCTTCAAATCCTACAAGCTTCTGTGCTAAAAAGTCTTCCATTTCCTCTACTTCTTCTTCCATTCTTTTAGATTGATATCACCTCCGAAGCTGTAGCTGCATTTGAGAACCTTTCAATTCCTGTTGAGACTAAACACAGGAAAATTCTGGGTGCTGACAGGTAGGCAATTCTTCCATATTACCTAGCCTAAGATACTAAAGCTCAGCTTTTCAATAGACTCCGAAGGCATTTCTCGGAGGATGACAATGCTATCGTTTGCATCTTGCATAAAAAAGTATATTCATACTACTTTGATTATGGTAATAACTTCGCTTCACTCCCTTTTACTGTAAGAGTTCCGCCAAGTTGCGTGCCATAAGTTGTTGTCGGAAAGCTGCAGATATCTCCTTGCGACTCCTAGCTTCTACAGCAGCGTTGTGTGCTCGCTATGTTGAATGTGAAGGGGACGCAAGAGTTCCCAAAGCCTTGTTGTTTTACCCTGGAGGAGTTAATTGGGCGCCCTGGATAATCCAACGCCTCTTAGTGACTTTGGAACTGTACCCGTTCACTGAGAATGCAGAGGCTGGTTTAAGGACAGACAGTTGGAGCGATAGGCGGAGCCGTTGCTCAGCGCTTGAGGAGTATCAGATGCTCCCACGATACCTAATTAGTCGCTCGAATGAATGTCATATTGTGGAGTGCACTATAGTCGCTGCGACGCCAAAATGTCTGCAAACAAGAGAAATTAGCGGCTTAAGAAAATTATGCCCAGAACACTACATGTAAATCAGTACTATTTTTGGCTCACAAATGCAATAAGCACTTAACAACACGATTAGGTTTAGAGATTTAGATGAAAAATGTGATTTCGATTCATGTGCCTTGAAGGGGGTTATGACTATGATAGTTCGTGCATCCATATTTCAATCTCTGAAATGCTCAGCAGAAAAACTAAACTCCATCGAAATATTTATCCAAAGTCTGTGT